CATAAGGTACTTGGGCAGGAAGAAAAAAGATATGCGATAGGCACAAATGAGGAAGGAAACTTAGAAAGTTTGTGTTGGAAATAGAAAGTTTGGATTTACCTTGTGAGTTGGGACTCTGTTCTCTAAGCAATATGAAAGCCATTAGAGGTATTTGAACATAGGAGCGATTTTACTCATATGCTTAATTAAGCATTTGTCCCTTGCTAAATATCAGGGCTATAGAGATGAATAAGATAGATCCCTGCTTAATAGGTGTAGATCATTTACCCATATGACCTGTAGTCACCTTCAAATTAATGTGTCTAAAACTAAACCCATATTATCCTTCAGTTTCTGTCTTCTTTAATTGTTCTTCTCCTGTATTTTCCATCTTAAGGATATTTGCCATCCATCTAGTAACCCAAAGATACTGGTCCTGGAGTCACACTGCCTAGGTTCTTATTCTGAAGCCTCCCTGTTTGCTTGGTCCCTCTGCTGGACAGTATCATGGATCCAGAGATGAGTCAGTATGGTTCCTGACCTTTAAAGGCTTCTAGTCTGATGGGGCGGGCAGACAGAGATACAAATAGCTGTAGTCTGGTTTGATCAGAGATGTGACAGGGGCTGTGGGATTTCAGAGCAGGCACATAACCAGTTTGGGGAGTCATGGAAATCTGGAGGAGGATGTATTTCAACTGAGACTTTTAAAAGGAGAGTGGGCAAGGATTAGATCCTAGGCAGTCTGATTCTGGAGCCTGTTCTCTTAAATATTATGCTGTCTTGGGTAACTGAGTAAGTATAATGGCATTAATTAGAACTGAGAGTGGAGGAAGAAGATTAAGGAGAAATATGAGGGGATTAAAGGGAAATAATGAGTTTAACTCTGGACACGTTAATTTCTAGATCCCTGTAGGACATTTTGGTAGATAAGCTAATGGGCAGGGATCCTGTCTCTATAACCCTAGTACCTAGCCAAGAGTAAATGCTCAGTTACATTTATGTACAAATCACTCTTCTTTTCTAAATCTTTGATGACTTTCTTATTGTCTTGAGAATTAGGGACTTATGTTTAAGACCTTTTGTAAGTTGGACCCAATCAAACTTTCTAGCTGCTCTTCTCTTGTACAATCTGACTGCCTTAGTTCAACTAGCCTTATTTGTACTTTTCCCACACCCTTTATCTTCCTGCCTTTTGTTCATATGGCCTCTTGCTTATTTTTCCATTCTATCTTCAAGACCTGCTTCAGCCCCCATTCCTCATCTACAAAACAGGCATATTTGGAACTACTTTTAGAGTAGTAATGAGGATTAAATGAGTGAATACTGTGTTAAGTGTTTGCAGTATTCTCCAGCACTTAAGTGCTCAGTACATGTTAAAGTTTAAGTGCTGCTACTACTACTTCCTTCTCTTCCTTTTTCTCAACTCTCCTCTTTTTGCTATATGAAAGGCAAACACCAAGTTCCAGTAATTCTGTAACCTATATGTTTTTTTCAACATAACTTTTCTTTGTCCTCACTGTCTTAGTTCAGGACCTCATTTCTTACAGTTGCCTTCAAACTGGTCTCATTGCCAGTCAATCTTACACACTTCTGCCAGAGTGATATTCCTCTAGAAGTGAATGCGACCATGTCAGCTCTGCTTTAAATCCTGTAATAATTCTTACTACTTTTAAGATAAAGGTCTAAGTCCTTAGCTCTTAAACTGTGTCAGTCTGGCCCCCTGCTTGCCTTTTTATCGTTATTCATGTATGGTGTGCTCCCACCGTCCCATCCAGCCTTATTGCATTCTGTTCTGTTTTCTGAAAGTGCTATATTTTCATACTCTTCATTCTTATTGGTCATGTGATTCCCTCTGCCTGGAACAGACTCTTCTATCTGGCTAATTTTTAGTTGTTCTTTGAAATGTTGCTCAAAGAAATGTATCCTTATGTTTTGAGTGTTTGCTGTGACTCCTTACCACATACTAAGTTTCAGAGTCTATGGTCTGTGCAATCCTGTATGAATTTCTGACATTCTTAGTTGAACAAATTCTCACTGGGCATTCTCTATATGATATGTATTGTGTTAAATACTGGGGGGTATAAAAATAAGACCAGACTCTTGTCTTCAATTTAGAATCTAATGAGGAGGAACCAACTGGGAAGTATAATCATTCATTTTCTTTGCTGTCTCTCCCAGTAGACTGTGAACACTCCAAGGGAAATGACCAAAATGGAATTTTAAGCAGATTAATATCAGGTTGCAGAAATTCTTCTGAGAGTAGAAGACTAGATCCAGAAAGACAAGCATGATAATAGTCTAAGCATGAAAACTTTGACCCAGATCACCTGGCCCCATCTCTTTTGCATGAGCTGTAATTCTCCCCTCCCATGATCTATCATGATGAATTATGGACACAGTCTTATAGTTTTTAAGCTGAGAGTTTTAATTTCAGATCATATTTTTATAGACCAGCATATAAGGTAAAAAGTACATTATTCATTATTAAATATGATTTTTAATCCCCGGTAAATATAATTGGAAAAAGTTGAGAGTTTTAATTTTCTGGACATATATATACTCCAAGTTTTTTTTTTTTTAAGGTTTTATTTATTTATTTGACACACAGAGAGAGAGCATAAGCAGGGGGAGCAGCAGGCAGATGGAGAGGGAGAAGCAGGCTCCCTGCCGAGCAAGGAGCCCAATGCAGAGCTCGGTCCCAGGACCCTGGGATCATGACCTGAGCCGAAGGCAGACGCTCAACCAACTGAGCCACCCAGGCACGCCTATACTCCTAGGTTTTTAAAATAAAAATTAAGCATAGGATTACAGTAACTCCCACATACATTTCTGCTTACTTATAATGAGAACATTAAATAAGCTGAATTTGCATTACATATAATCAATATATAAAACTTAAGAACAGCCTAATATAATTCTAATAGTTCTCATTTTACTGAAAAAGAAGGCAATCCAATTATAAATAAGTTATTTATGTGTAGGTCACATAGTTATAAATAAAGAGAGAAGTTAAAATTTGGATATAAGACAGAAAAGTCTACCAAAATTCTTGTGAGAATGTAATGCTAGTGGTTTATGTAGCTTGCATCTGTTTTCCTGCCTGTTGGTCTAGTCATTTTCCTCTCAGTCTAGGTGGGGTTTAGGAAGTCTGTGACAAGATGTTTGAGAGAAGGTTGGCTGGCATTTAGGAGTATTGTTTGAAAACTCAGCTTTTGCTGAGTTGGCGTATGCTCTAACCAGCCTATTTACTGAAGTGATGCTCAACTCAAGGAGGTGGTAGGTTTATTATTGTAAATAGTTTTAAAGTCCTGAACAGAGAAGACTAATTAGATTTAATGTGTGGGTTCACACATACATAAACAATCTGCCTACTTATACCTAAGAAATGGCTAGATGAAAAGCCAGTGTCATCCAGTAAAATATTTTTCTTGTCTAAAATATGTTGAAGTAGGGAGCCTGGGTGGCTCAGTCATTTGGGCATCTGATTCTTGATTTCTGCTGGGGTCGTGGTCTTGAGGTTGTGGGATTGGCCCCGAGTGGGGCTGTGCACTCAGCCTGGAGTCCGCTTCTCTCCCTTTCCCTCTGCCCCTCCCCCTGTTTGTGCATGCTTTCTCTCTAAAATAAATAAATAAATCTTTTAAGAAATAATAAAATATGTTTAAGGATTTTTAAAATAGGAGAATGAAGTTAATAATGGGTTTTTAAAACAGAATCAAATTAATGCTAAGAATTAATATGCTTATGTATTTTTTAGTTTTAAAGCTTGCATATGATATCTCACTTAAAACTCAGAACAAGCCTATGAATAAATTTTCCAGAGAAATCCAAGGTTCAGAGGTGCCTGGGTGGCTCAGTTGTTAAGCATCTGCCTTCGGCTCAGGTCATGATCTCAGGGTCCTGGGATGGAGCCCCGCATCAGGCTCCCTGCTCAGCGGGAAGCCTGCTTCTCCCTCTCCCACTCCCCCTGCTTGTGTTCCCTCTTTTGCTGTCTCTCTCTGTCAAAAAATAAATAAAATCTTAAAAAAAAAGAAAATCGTTTAAGAAAAAAAAGCCGAGGTTCAGAGAGAGAAACTGACTAGTCTTAAATCATAAAACCAGAAGAAGTGGCAGCGGCAGCATTAAAATTCAGTTTCTGGTCTCTAAGTCCAATATATTCTTATTTGCTGTGCAGTGTGACTTTAACATTTTTGGGTAGTAGCAGATCAACCATATTCTCTGAATGAGTCCTCATAAAGAATTAACTCTTAATTCTTCTTTTATTGTGACTGGTTATAAGGACTGATAACCCACATAGTCTTTTTCTCACTTAATGTGATTTTATCCTATAGATGCCTTAGCTGCTAATTAAAGTTTCTTTTTCATTAGGTATCTCCTGCATCTGATAAACTCCTAAAAGTGAATTGTCCCCCACAATACTGCCTTAATCTCAAGTGAGACACCAACATGGCTTGCTGTATGCCCATTTCTTTAGCGGTTAACTAAGAAGTTATTTCAATCTCTTGTAAACTGAGTGTAAAGTACTGTGTTGAGACTCTACAAAGATGATCAAAACATCTTTAAACCTTAAGCACCTATTCTCTACCAGACTAGTACCTAAAACTTTATTACTTTCCCACTTTGCTGAACTTTCTGATACATTGATTTTTCTCAGCTATAGAATTAAACAGTATGCTTCAAATTCTTGGGAGGGGATTTTTTTTAATACCTTGATTTTCTCAGCATTATCTGTAAAATGAAAGGAAAGTACTTAACCTATATAGCCAAATAATGTTGTACACTTACAAGATACTATATTGTGTATAGATTGGAAGTGGGCTGTGTAAAATCTACTTTTATGTTGTAATTCTTACACTTTTTTTCCCCATCTTTCCCCTTAGATTTCCTTCATGGATACATTTCATAGCATTATTATGTGATGTGAGAAGTTTTTTGTTTTTTTGTTTTTTTTTTGAAGTAACATGGATTTTATACTACAGAATCAAGAGATTGGCTTTATAGGAGAAATTGATTTATAAAAAGTGGTACAGGTTTTTATAGATAACCATGACAACATCCCATATGAATGGGCATGTTGCTGAGGAATCAGACAGCGAAGTAAAAAATGTTGATCTTGCATCACCAGAGGAACATCAGAAGCATCGAGAGATGGCTGTTGACTGCCCCGGAGATTTGGGCACCAGGATGATGCCAGTACGTCGAAGTGCACAGTTGGAGCGTATTCGGCAACAACAGGAAGACATGAGGCGTAGGCGAGAAGAAGAAGGGAAAAAACAAGAACTTGACCTTAATTCTTCCATGAGACTTAAGAAACTAGCCCAAATTCCTCCAAAGACTGGAATAGATAACCCTATATTTGATACAGAGGAAGGAATTGTCTTAGAAAGTCCTCATTATGCTGTGAAAATACTAGGTAAGTAAATACAGCAGTATAATAGAAAATAGAAAAATAGAAAATACTTTTGTTTCTCTTGCCTTAACATAAATGTGTACAGGAAGGAAGAGGAGTATAATAGAATGTAAGTAATAGCAATTTGAATTCAGACCAAGATAAGTTCTTTTCATGCAAAGGCCATATAACCAACCATCACTGTTTACTTTTAGTCACATAGAGCTAAAGCATAGGGCTAAAATGTTCAGTCACTACATGGTTTTTAGATACCATCTTTGAATTAAAAATTTCTATATGTGGGCTAACATTTATAGCCTTGAAATTCACCTTTTATTTCAAACTCAAACTTTTATATCAAAATTACTGAAAAGCAGTTTTCAGGTTTTGAATTTGATTTCCTTGAAGTTTGTAAAATTGTAATGAAATTATTATCTGTAACTTATAATCTATTTGATTTTCTTTAATTAATGACTGCCAATAAGAAGTGGAGCTGTTCCTATGGCATCATATACATAAAACATGGCTCAAAACTACCAAACTCCATTCTGTGAAAAAAACAAAAACAAAACAGCGCCATGAGTTATTAGTAGATGTAAACAAAAAAGAAATCTGTGACCAAATAAATTTTGAGAACAGTGGGTTAAATAAGTTAAACCTCTATTACAGGACTTTAGATCCTTTAGAGTGCTAATATGCATTATGAATCTGCAAGGGAGATTGATGTCAAATATATGTTTCCAAACTTAGAATATTTGATCATTGAACGTACTTCCTTCCCTTCCTACACACACACACACGCACACACGAATAATCTGTGAACCGGTGTTATGGGTATACATTAATCTGCTTCCCTTAAAACCAGGCTAACTCAAATTAAGTATTCTATTTATTGGCATTTATTATTTATAGATGTGAAAATAGAGCTACTTCCACTTTTTTTTTTCTTTTTTTACTTCCACTTTTCTATGGAAGGAGAGAGTTTTCATTGTTGTTCTTCCATTCATTTAGGTGTCTATTGAGCTCTGTACTCATACCATCCTATGTAATATCCACAATAATTCTATTAACAGGACTTTATAATCTCCATTTTGGAAATAAAGAAATTGAAATTGAGTTAACTCACTGTTTAAGATTCCAGGCTAATAAGTGGTAGAGCCAAGTCTGAATTTGCTTGATCTAGGTATGCAGTTGGTGTACTCCAAAGAGTTTGAGTAAAGAATGATGTCCAGTGTGCTCTTCACTCACTGGATCAGAACTCTTGCTACCAGGAGTAGTAGCAAGGTAATTTTCCCAAAGATACCATATATACTAGATTTGTTCCTCACAAAGTCTCTATGTTCTAAGTCTGAAACAGTTCCTACTATATCACATCATCTTCTTTGTTATAAATTTATTAAGGAACCACGTTTCTTGACAGAAAGCAACATGCATGCTTCTCTGTGTTTTAAAAAATCAGACGTGTGCAGTGATAGTGAAGTCTGGTAAATGCCTTCAGGTATTTTAATTATAGTGAAAATAGGCAGACAGCATCTCCCTTGCTGTCCTGCCCACCGCGCTCTCGCAGTGTATTCAATAAACTTTGTCTCCTTTAAAAAAAAAAAAAAAAAAATTATAGTGAAAACAGAAAAAATACATATTTTCAAAATACGTTTACCTGAAAGAATTTTGTGCTCTTTTTTCCAAAGAGTTTTGTTAGAGTAAAAATATTTAATTCCCGATTGCCTCTTACTGGCCCTCATCTCCCACCACTCCTTTGTTTTTTTTAACTTACTTGAGATAGAGAGGGAACACGAGCAGGATTGGAGGGGCAGAGGGAGAAGGTAAAGCAAGCTCTCCACTGAGCAGGGAGCCTGATGCAGGGCTCGATCCCAGGACCCTGGGATCATGACCTGAGGAAGGCAGACACTGAACCAACTGAGCTACCCAGGCACCCCTCCACTGTTTTTTATTAAAATATTCTTGTAAATATTCTCTCTGACTTGGAGAATGATTACATTGTAATATATCCAGCCCAAGCCTGGATTGATTATTCCTTTTTTCTTTTAAATTTTTAAATTTTTAAATTAAGATTAATGTATTTGTCCATTTGCTCTACTTAGATCAGGCAGAAAAATCTATCTAATAGATAATATTCATGTACTCTCAGTAAAGAAACAAATACAGCTTAAGCCAGATTCACTTTAGTGAAACTTTTTTTTTTCCCAAAGCACAGAAGATTGGAGACCATTTCTCTCAAATTTTTTGGTTTTTCCTATTTCTGTTTATATGTTGCTTGCCTAACTTTTCTGCAAGTGTAGATTAAAGGACAGCTATATTTTCTTCCAGCTTGCAGTCCATTGTGGTTTTCAAAAATACCTTTGTGCAGTCCTTGAATTTAAGGCTGTTTCACATATTTTGTTTTAAAGTAGTTCAAAATGTAGTACCAGGGGCACCTGGTGGCACAATTGGTTAAGAGTCTGACTCTCAGTTTCAGTTTAGGTCATGATCTCAGGGTTGTGAGATCAAGTCCCCTATCGGGCTCCACGCTCAGCATGGAGCCTGCTTGAGATTCTCTCTCCCTTTCCCTCTGCCCCTCCCACTCATGTGCTCTCTCCCTCTCACAAATAAATCTTTTTTTAAAAAATGTAAGAGGTATCTGTAATTCAATTTTTGAATAGAATACTTAATACTTTGAGAAATAAGTAATAGGTTTATTGCTGATAGACTCAACACAAATGTGTTAATTATAGAAAACATGATAAGTTAGTGGAAGTTACAGAGTTGTTATTGCCAGTCAAAGCTTCATTTTTGGATATACTGAGTTTTAAGTTTTCATTTTAAAATGAAGTGTAATAGCTTTATACCAAACATTTTTTTCCTGTACATAATTTGCTAACACATCAAAGTACAACAGAAGTACTCCCTTAAAGTTGTGTCTCCCTGCCAGTATTTTAATTAATAAACACATGCCAGAGGCAACTGCTCAGCCTTTTCACAGCCAGAAACAGCCACCTTGTTTTAAATGAGGGAAGGATGCGACAACTAATTTCTTTCTTTAAGAGGAAGCCATCAGTTTCCAGTGATACATCATCATTTATCTGTGAGTAGAGAAAATACTATTTTAAGAATTGAAAATATGATTGGAAGGTGGGATACTTTGGGTCATGTGTTTTTTTTTTTTAAGATTTTATTTATTTGAGGGTAGTGGTTTTTAATGAAAGGATTTATAAATTAGGTACTGTTTAATAATAAAAGTGCAGGGATGGAATTGATAGAAAATATTCTGAAAGGATGAACTGAACTTGCTTGTTTAAAAGCAGTCAAAATCTTATTAAAAGGGGTGCCTGGGTGGCTCAGTCTGTTAAGCATCTGCCTTCGGCTTAGGTCATGATCCTAGGGTCCTGGGATTGGGCCCCGCATCGGGCTCCCTGCTCACCAGGCGGGGAGTCGGCTTGTCCCTCTGCGCCTTATCCCACTCGTGTTCTCTCGTGTGCATGTGGTCTCACAAATAATACAATCTTTTAAAAAATTTTTAGAACCTTATTAAAAGAAAAGGGTGATGTGGGAATTTAATTTCAAATAAATAATAATTAGTATTATAAATTATAAGAATTTTGATATATCAGGGAAGCTTTCCTTAAAATTGGCATGAGTTATTAAAACTTGGCTTTGCTTCAAATAAAATCTCATTGTCTTGTTCTCTTTCATAAGCAAAACAAACTACTTCATGAGGGAAATTCTGAGAAAATAACAAAGCAGGTTAGAGTAGGATGAAGTAGAGTAGAATCATTTTTCAGATACCTCTAGATTTCAGGTGCCACTGTTTTTGTTTGTTTTTATATTCACATAGAAGTAATTTGGGGCCAGGGTTGTAGACAAGTAAATATAATAGAATATTTAAAGGGAATAAAGGAGGAAACACTGTCATCTATCACATATGAAGAGACCTTTGGAAAGGCATACCCACCCACCCACACACACCCATGATGTTTTGTGGTTAATAAGGAGACCCTTGAAATTCGTGATTAGGGGCTTTTTAATTCATACCAGATGCTATTAGTGTGAAGATAAAAGGTACGCCAAGGGGCAGAAAATTAGGATGAATAAAATACTTCATTATATTAATTAATAGCATGTTTCAGTCTTGATTTGTGTCTACTATTTTTGCCACATGTCTCTGAGTATTCAGCTATAAAGTCAATAGTATTCCTGTATTTGATGTTACAAAGTAAAATATATCTTCTACATTTCTTTGTTATTTTTTGACTTCTGACTGACCATGGGATATACTGGAATTTTGCTAGACTGTGATAAATGTTTTTAAAGATTGGCTTTAAGGAAAGTTTATTTAAGTTCAACAAACAAAATTCCAGTGCCAGTAACCTTGAGTTCAGCCTATTTCTGAAAAACTAATAATTATTATTAAATTTTTCCTCAGCTGCTATAGATGTTTCCAAGCTCTTTTAGTCATTCCTTGTGGAACTTTTTTTTCTGGGAGTAACATGATTAGACTTATGGGTACTAGATTTAATGTTTAAAATGTTGGGTCTGTTTGAAAATTTTCTGATTTGTTCAGATTGCTAAAATTAGAGCTAATCTAGAGTAAAGATTAGAAAATTCATTATAATATGTTTATAGTCATGTAATGTTTGGTTGTTAAATGTGCATAATTCTACTGAAAAATAATTAACTGCTATACCAGTCTTTGATACATTGCATCAAAACTTCATTCTGCGTATTAAGTAATAATAGATTTTAGCTTTTGCCTCTTGCAAAGACTTGCATCATTGTGTCATATGTTCAGAAATGCAGGACATCACTGAATCATTGGAAAGGGATGTCTGGATGCAGATGTAGAGTTTGAATATTTTTTATTTTCATTTAATTGCTATTGACATTAGACAGGTTACTTAACTTTTCTAAGCTTAAGCTTCTGAAGTTTGACTAAAATTTAGCTTTTTTTAAAAAAATTTTATTTATTTATTTGGGGGTGGAGGGAGCAGGGGGAGGAGCAGAGGAGAAAAAAATCTCAAGCAGATTCCATGCTGAGCGTGGAGCCCAATGCGGGCTCAGTTTCACAACCCTGAGATCATGACCTGAGCCGAAACCAAGAGTCAGACACTTAACCGACTGAGCCACCCAGGCACCCTAAAATTTAACTTTTGTAAGAACCAGAAGCCACCAGAGATCATCTAACCTCTTAGTCCATGAAGTTAATTTGTGGATCTTAACCAGCAAATTTTCATTTTGTTTTTCTAAAATAACAAATTTTTTAAGATATAATTCATATGGTGACCTGGGTGGCCGTTAAGCATCCGACTCTTGGTTTTGGCTCATGTCATGATTTCAGGGTCATGAGATTGAGCCCCGTGTTGGGCTCTGAGCTCAGCGGGGAGTCTACTTTTCTCCCTTCCTCCCTCGCCCGCTGCCCCTCCCCCCACTTCTACACACACTCTCTCTAAAATAAATCTTAAAAAAAAAGACATTCATATACCATAAAATTAACTCTTTTAAAGGTGTGTTATTCATGAGTTTTTAGTATATTCACAAGATTGTGCAACCATCACCACTGTATAATTTCGGAGTGTTCTCATTAAAAGAAACTCCGTACCCATTAGCAGTCACTCCTATTCTCTCCTCTCCCTAACAACCCTAGTCTACTTTCTGTTTATAGATTTGTTTATTTGGGACATTTCCTATAACTCATACAATATGTGACCTTTTGTGACGGGCTTATTTTTACGTAGCATATTATTTTCAGGATTCATTGAGTTATAGCATGGACTAGTACTTCATTCCTTTTCATAGCTGAATACTCTGTTGTATGGACATGCCACATTTTGTTTATCCATTCATCTGCTGATGGAACATTTGGGTTGTTTCCACCTTTTGGCTACTGTAATAGTGCTAAGCATATTCACATACAAGTTTCTGTTTGAACACCTGTTTTTAATTTCTTTTGGGTACATACCTAGGAATGGAATTGCTGGTCATGTAGTAATTCTTTGTTTAAGTTATTGAGGCTTCCAGAGTACCTGTACTGTTTTCTGTTCTCATCAGCAATGTGTAGAGGGTTCCAGTTTCTGTACATCCTTGCTTCTACTTGTATTATATGTTTTTTAATTTTAGCCATCCTATCAGTCAGTAATTTTTTTAAGAACTAGATTAAATAGAAAACATTAAAATATATTGCACATAGGTATTTATAAATCTTATATTTCAAATAGCTTTGTGTATTGCCAACAAAAGTTTGAGAAATACTATCCTAGTCAAACCCACTCATTTTATAGAAAGGCCCAGAGACTTGCAGTGGGTTGTCCAGTGACATATAATGCAACTAACAAGTGGTGGAGCAATAATTAGGACCCAGGTATTCTCATCCCAGATTTGGGGCTTCAATGACAGTTTTTCATTGTCTTACCATGTTTAGGGATAAGATTTTTCCTGTGCTGTCTCTCTTAACTATCTTTGCCTGTATACTTAACTGGTATTTGTTTTTAATTTGTAACCCAATTTGTTAATGAGTAATTACTGTTCAGTATTTTTCATGAGCTTCTGATTTTTTTTTTTAATTCATTTTGACTTGGTCCACTGCCAACCAAAAATCAAAGATCTGAATTTTATGTTCTTAAATTTGGAAAGAAAAAAGAAAAAGTCTACCTCTGTTTAAGCAAAGATTTCCAGAATGAATGTTCTGATTTTGATTCAGCAATAGATATACTGGAAACTGATATAATTTCCTCATACTCAGAAATATTAAGGTCCTCATCTGAATATTCAGCTTGACCATCCAGTGTAGGAGAAAAGAAGAAATCTTTAAAAGTTTCAGAAAAAAAGTTAAAAGTTGGTTGAAATCCAGAAATTTCTGCGGATAGGTTAAGGAAATCTGTATTATTTAAACAATGAGATGGAAGATTGTTATGCTAGAATAGATCTCTAGAAACTGTCTTTTCATTTGGGTGTAAATGATAGCATGAGTTAAAATAAGCAAAGCTAATCCAGGGTAGGTGGTGATCACCATTACTTCGAAAGTTCTCCAGAGATGGAGATTCCTTAGCTTCCTTGTGTAATTTTATTTTGTACCCTTAAAGCCAAAAAGTTCTCCCATATGACTGCCTATGATAGAATTTCAGATAGAGCAACTCTTGGTTTTTGCTTTCTGTTGCCTAATTTAAATTTAACTTCATTTTTTTTATATTTTAGGCTACCAGGAGAGGGCCAAGGGGAAAGGAGAGGGTTCGGGGGGTAGATTTGTAGATTTATGGGTATGTTTGTATTTATCTGATTAATTGTATTCCAATGCCAAATAGAAGTAATTTTTTTAGATAATGTATAATAGATAAAATAATAATAGATAATAGATAATATAATAGATCTAGATAATATTAAACTATTTAAGTGTTATAAGAAATGTTAGAAAAGATGATGGGAACTTAAAACAATTTCTACTGAACATCAGGTAAGAAGAAATAGATCTAACTGTGGGACAAAGAATTTAAACTAGATCTAAAGAACTTTCTTGTAGGGAAGCTGTGGCAGACTAGAATTTATCCTCAAAGCCAGATTTGATATACTTGCCTTTGCCGCCTTCTCCTCTGCAGTGTCCCCTTTTCTGCCCTCCCTCTGTCCTGCCTTACTGTGGTTATATCTCTGCTGCAATACTCCCTTCCCTCTCTGCACTTTGTCATTCTCGCTAGCCCTGTGATTCTCCATGTATCTTTCTATTTTTCTGTCCATGTGGCTCTTTATCCTTATGTTTCCCCTGTTGTGTCTCTGTTTATGGGAATGGGGAAAGGAGTCTCTATTCTCTGGATTCTGTCGTCTTTTTATTGTGTATCTTCATTGTTAATTACAGAAGAGGGTACATATTTGACAGGACTGATTTAGTTGTATCTGATTGGATTTTTAAAATTCCTTCTGGGGGGGTGCCTGGGTGGCTCAATCATTAAGCGACTGCCTTCGGCTCAGGTCATGATCCCAGGGTCCTGGGATCGAGCCCCGCTTCGGGCTCCCTGCTCTACAGAAGCCTGCTTCTCCCTCTACCACTCCCCCTGCTTGTATTCCCTCTCTCGCTGTCTCTCTCTCTGTCAAATAAATAAAATAAAATCTTTAAAAAAAAAATTAAAATAAAATAAAATTCCTTCTGGAATTGTACAGAATGTTTTGTTTTAAGTAAACAAATATAACCTGCATCAGACAATGATATAGGAGCACCTGGGTGGCTCAGTCAGTTAAGCATCTGACTTCGGCTCAGGTCATGATCTCAGGGTCCTGGGATCGAGTCCCATGTCAGATTCCCCACTCACTACAGAGTCTGCTTGCTCCTCTTGCTCTGCCCCTCTCCCCACTTGTGCTCGTTCTCTCTGACTCTCTCTCTCAAATAAATAAAAAAATAATTTAAAAAAAGATGTACAATATAGGACCTAAGGGTTTTTTAACCTACAACTAAATATTCTGACCGTTGAAATTAAGAATTTTTATATGAAACTAAAATGTGAATGAGAATGTGTGTCAAAGTGAGAATCCCTGAGTTGATGTTACCCACAATAATTTTTCATTAGACATCAACCTTAATACCAAAGAAAAGATCCTTTGTCAGAATTACATTCAGAATTTTCTAGTAAAGAACTGAGTAAAGACTGTGAACTCATATCGTGATTAGTATTTTAAGACTAATGGCTGTAGGTGTCTGTTGCTTTCTATGTGATTTTAAAACTTATTGGACAGAGGCAGCATCATTTTTAATGTCTTTTAAATTGATAAGCCTTTTAAAAAGCTTTAAAAAAACACTAATTTCATCAGGATCTGGGTATTTTGTATTTTTTCTTAAATATTCATTTGTTTCAACTACATGTAGTTTAGTCTATATCTTCTAGTCAATCTACATATATTTAATGAAGTTTTAAAAACTCACTGAGTGTCTGCTTTTCTACTTGTTCACTAAACATTCTTTTTTTTTTTAAAGATTTTATTTATTTATTCATGAGAGAGAGAGAGAGGCAGAGGGAGAAGCAGACTTCCCACAGAGTGGGGAGCCCGATGCGGGACTCGATCCCAGGACTCCGGGACCATGACCTGAGCCGAAGGCAGACGCTTAACCATCTGAGCCACCCAGGCGCCCGTTCACTAAACATTCTTAATGAAAACATTTGGATCTGAAGGACGAGAGTACTTTGAGCAGCTTTCCTGCATGGTATTATAAAAGTAGCATTTGGAGGGTGAATAAAACACATGCATTATATGCATTATATGTATGAAGATGTACAAAACAGCTAGAGAAAATTCTAAAGATACGTGGTTCTAGCTGTCTTTAGCTAGAACGTATAAGCTCCTCTAAATACTGACCTGTGTACATTACATGCTGCGTATGGGGCAAAAAGACATCTCAGGACAGCTTTTCGCCCTAGAATCTGCAAAAAAACAAAAAAGTATCTTTTTTATTCCCTTGGTGTGGCAGAAAAGCTTTGCCTTACAAGTTTGAAGAAGTGGATTCTTCTTATACTCCTCCATGGTCTTTGTGGCTTTAGAACTCAATATGCACAAATTGCCAGATTTCATCTTTCTCTGGAACCTGCATTCCCTTACACTATCCATTTTGGACTAAGAACAAAATTTCCTATTTCCTATCTGAGCAGTGTCTTAACTGTGAGCTGATCTGAAATAAGGTCATTGATCTCAAGTTGTATCTCTCATTAAGCCGTCCTAGTGTGAGTTACTCTTCTTTACTTTCCCTAGTTTTTCTCTATGACATGACTATACTATCTCATTTTATACTTAAAATATTCTAAATATGAGAATTATATGCTGTGTTTACCACAGAGCAGAAAAAGGGCAACAAAAACTATTTGCCAATGAGGAAATAGAATAACTATAAAAAAAAGACACAAAAACTCCATATAGCAGTCAGTTATCTTCATCTCAAGTATATCATATCTTAAAATATAGTAACCAATGTTAATAAAGCTTTTAAGTCAGTGGTTCTTAACCAAAAGGGTACATTATAATAAACTTAAAATCAGTACATATGTATTTATATTTAATGACATTCAGGAAGACAAGGAGATTCTGATTGTGTTTGAGGTAGAACTCTCACGACCTATCTTTGCAGGTTCCCTTAGTAATTCTCATAAATATCCTCGATTAAAAAATCATTGTTCTGATAAAGCAAGAAAAGGTAGTTAGTACCTATCTGGTGGGCAATTTGTCAATATGTATCAAAGTTTTAAATGTTTTTATTATCTGATCAGTAATTTTAGGTGTTTATTCTAAAGAAATTGGAAAATAACAGATTGCAAAACAGTTACTATGTGACCTATATGGTTAAATCAGCATTTTTTTTTTTAAGTCTGAAAGGGGGGCGCCTGGGTGGCTCAGTCGTTAAGCGTCTGCCTTCAGCTCAGGTCATGATCCCAGGGTCCTAGGATCGAGCCCCACATTGGGCTCCCTGCTCAGCGGGAAGCCCACTTCTCCCTCTCCCACTCCCCCTGCTTGTGTTCCCTCTCTCGCTGTGTCTCTCTCTGTCAAATAAATAAATAAAATCTTTAAAAAAATAAAAAGTCTGAAAGGCTGTATAGTATAACAACTTAACACCAGTAATTATAGCTGGAATATAAAACAACAATTTTTATTTTTTTTAATTTTTTTAATTTTTTTTTTTAATTTTTTTTATTGATTTATTCATGAGAGACAGAGAGAGAGAGAGAGAGAAGCAGAGGGAGAAGCAGTCTCCCAAGGAGCAGGGAGCCTGATGCGGGACTCGATCCCAGGACTCTGGGATCATGACCTGAGCCGAAGGCAGACGCTTAACTGAGCCACCCAGGCGCCCCAATTTTTTTTTTTTTTTTAATAATGTCAGTATTGCAGTGTCCTTATGGGTGGTTTGGTACCAGGAGACATTAATGCAGAAGTTCCTTTGCCTTTAAAAGTTTAAATATTCTTGGTGTTGAACAGACAATAGAGAGATGGTTATCTTTTGTGCTGACTGAAGTTGCTTATTGATTACAGTCAGTGGTGATATCTGAAGCCCTTGATTTTTCTCATTGCCCTGACAACCAGTCTGAGCTCTTTTAAATAATTACTAAACTTTTAAATAGGAATCTCATTATCCACCCAGTGAAGTCTAAGATAGTCCTCCTAGGATTGTAGACAATTACTGCTTTAACTACTTTGTTGGTTTTATAATTCTTTTTCCTTTTAAGATATTTAAATGTTTTCCTGTTTTGCTCTAAAGATACTTTAAGCCTATTGAATTCTTTATACTCTTAGGAATTCTTTATATACTTAGGTAATTCTGTGGTAACCTCTTTGAATTTGATGGAATCTGACATTCCATATTCTTTTTTTCCTCCCAGGTTTACCAAAGTATATTTGACAAGTAAAATTGTATGTATTTAAAGTGTACAATATGATGATTTGATGTATACATTGTGAGATATTTAGCACAATTAATTAACACATCCATAACTTCACTTACTATGTGTGTATAGTATGAGAGAGTAGTTCTTGCCATAGTCATCATGTAGCTCCTCAGAACTAATTCACCTTAAAAGCAACAGTTTGTACTCTGACGAACATCTCCCAGTTTCCCCTATCTATATTCTTTCTTTCTAGTGTTCTAGATATTAGCTTACCTTATGGTTAAATTCTAGCTATTTCTCAAGTTTTATTTAGCTCTGGGGCACACGATTGACAAGTTTTGACTTTCCAGTTTTTTCCCCTAGTTATTTGCTGCATTTTAAATTACTGAAGAGTGTATCTGTATATTTTATAGGGACTAAATCTGTTTTGATTTGGGGGGAAAGGATAAGGAACCTCAAGAATCAACTCTGAAGAACTATTCAAATCTATGAAAGAATTTAACTGCTGTATAGTAGTAATTATAAGATACATGTATAAGAATCAGTAGCTTTTCTGCAGGCTGTATATGAAGAAAACTAATAAAAAGACTTCAGCTGAGAGGGTTTTTTCCACGTGTTTGTGTATAAGACAGTAGTGTCCACTGTAAGTTTTTCCCAGACTCATACAGGCTTAATTTCAGTCAGAATCTCAATAGACTTCTCTTTTTAGAGGAATGAGAGAGAGTGGGTAGTACCTTGAAAAAATTATTCTGTAACTCATTTTGAATGGTCAAGACATTTTTGAAAATGTAATTAGCAAGTACTTGACATATCAATATGAGGAAAGACTGAAATGCTACTATAATAAAACACTGTGGCTCTGATAGACCAATGGACTAGAAACAGACCCTGTTATATGTAAGATTTTGGTGGTATCATGAATCAGTGGAACAGTAAAGATTATTCAATAAGTGGTGTTAGAATAATTGTTAACCACTTGGAAGAAAAGAAATGAAGTTAAAATTTCCCCTCAAATCTATACCAAAGTAAATTCTAGATGGATTAAAGTTAATTATGAAGTAGAAGCCGTAAGAAGCCAAAAGAAATGTAGGCAAATATTTAATGACCTAGCAGAAGGAGTTTATAAGCACAGAAACAGTGAAAGAAATCACACAGGAAAAGGTGGATCATTCTTAACATAAAAGAGTTGAAAACTTCTATAATAAAAGCTACCATAGACACAGTTAACAGACGAATGAAAAAATTGTTTCTGACAAATGTAACAAAAACACACACATGCACACATCTACCTGTCGCGGGGCAGGGAAGAAACACCTGGTGGCTCTTAACCATTTTGGGATAACGCTCTCCCAGAAAAATGCGTGCACTGCATATGCACACTAACAGGCATGTACACACATACACATGCCCACAATTTTCAGTATAATTTTAGGAGACTAACATGTGCACAAGAGTTTTATGGACCACAAAGAAGTGCCTGGTAAATATGACTAAATCTCACCTTCCCCATTAAATAAATTGGTTTTATAGAACTGTAAAGTCGAATATTAGTGAAAATATTGCTAATGGGATGTAAATTAAATTAGCAAAACTTCTCTGGAAAGCTTTTTGGTTTTTAAAATGTCAGAATCTTATTTAAAAATTCTATTTCTAGGAGTTATTTTAAGAAAACAGACTCTCAGACAAATTTTATTCAGCTATGATCATTATGTATTGAAATGCTTATTATTTATAGTAGCAAAAAATTGGGAGGGAAGTAACCTGAATGCTCAATTCTAATGTAATGGTAATTTAAATTATGGTTTAGCCATGCAACCGAGTATCATGGAGCCATTATATATAATGTTTTTAAAAGAGTACTTGGCGATGTGGGAAAATAATTAAAATGTACTGTTAAATGAAAAAAGCAAATACTCAGAGATATTTAAAAAAAAAGTTTCTAGGTGATGGGACTATTGTTGATTTTAAATTTATTTCTGTATTCCTCATTCATTTTTATAGTGAGTATGTATTTTATATTTCAAATGCTTGGAAAAATGTTATTCTGTTTTGTATAATTTTTAGAGTTTTACTTAAAAATAGGTAAAATTATAGTGATTTAACTCTCAAAAATATATGCAAGGTTTTTTTTGGGAAAACTTAAATCGACTGGTTCAAGAAAGTTTATCTTAAAACACATGTTGAATTAAGACAAACAATTAATTTTTGGATACCTTTTCCTTCTCCTACTAGAAGTGGAAGACTTGTTTTCTTCACTTAAACATATCCAACATACTTTGGTAGATTCTCAGAGCCAGGAGGATATCTCACTGCTTTTACAACTTGTACAAAATAAAGATTTCCAGAACGCATTTAAGATACACAACGCTGTCACAGTACACATGAACAAGGCCAGTCCTCCTTTTCCTCTTATCTCCAGTGCACAAGATCTTGCCCAAGAGGTATGTATTCTGAACATCTGCTTGAAATATACAGGCTAATTGTTGGTGATAGTAAGGCAGTATTATTGGAAAATACTGATGTGACTATAAGCCTTGTTTGAATTAATTACTTTTGATCACATGTTAATAATTTATTGTGTTAGGAAAAATTTGCTACATGCATTTTATCCTGAAAAAATATATACTTCAAAATCAGAGCTCTGTTTCATGAAAAGAAGTGTTAGTTTTATATATAAAATTATATATTTGCATAGTGAGATGTTTGTCTAACTTACTAAAGTGAAGTTTTTTTAGTGCTTTTATAAGTGTATAGTTTTATTTTAAGCATTATACATTTATAAACTGAGATGAGTACTGATGAGATAAAGTCATATCTGATAACCAGGTGTCGTAAATATACAACTTCTAAAATGTGTTGTTTGTAGATATTTTGAAGTTTTTCCTGTATAAAAACTCTATAGAAGGTCCAAAAAAAATAAATTTTAATGTATGATGAGAGTTTCTCTCGTTAACATGCTGACTTTGAAGTTCTAGTTTCTGCTGCTTGTGGATGTTGATATTCGGTGTCTAATGTATTCTGCAAACGTCTTTTAAATTGAAGGTTTTAAAAAG